TTAAATGCATGATATGCGTGGCTTAGCCACAATCTCGAAGCCGAAGGCGACTGAAACCCACACAGGTAGTTTTGTGTTCATCTAGGAACTTCGAGGCCATATTCAAAAGGCTTCCAGGCTTTGCGAACAGAACTGTGGGAATTTCGCACCAAAATCCTCACAGTAGCCTCGAGCTCCGCCCTTTCATGAAGTTGCACACGATGACACCTAGGAGGCATTTGGCCCATCGCTTTTAGTTTCCTTGCGATGGAGCGTAGAGACCGCCCAGTCTCACCAAGGTACTCATTCCCCCACCGTGTATATGAGACTAGGCAGATCACACCTGGTGTAATGCAAGCCCCACTCATCTAGAAGAACAGATAACGGGCTGGCACAGTAGTGAACATACCCACGGTTGCGAATAAAGTTAGCTTGAGGCGCTGGGAGGAATCTCGACAATCCGAATCGTTCTGCCGGGCGGCACCTGTGTAAGGACGTTCGTACAGCCGCACTGATGGCATCACTTACAAAGAATGTGCAATCGGCACCTTGTCACCGCTCTATCAGAGGATTTCGGTGCTTCCTAGTGGGTGGTTAAACAGCAAAGTCACCCTCTTGAAGGATTCTACTTTCTCTTGATTACCTGACGAGCCCGTTTTAGCCTTGCTAAACATGATACTATTCAAAACTCGTTTGGCATTGAGAGGATGCTCCAACCGGAAGTGGACCAAGATGTTCTACCTAAGCGATTTTCGATACCATCTAGTCCAATAGAGCCCGCGCTCAAGTTGGGTCTACGTGCTGAGCAGATGGAGCCAACTGTGCTTTTTCAGTGTATATGGGATATTCTCAGCTTGCCTATTAAGGAATCTGTCTCTAGTGGAGGTGAAGCTGGAGACTGCAATGCTGATCTGCTATGGCGCTAAGCGTAACATTTAACAGACGAGAAAGACAAGATCAGTTATTCCTCAACATGATCCTATTGATAGTCCGTTTAGTCTTCAGAGGCGGTGCCATTGGTCCATACGGTACCTTAAACCCACCCACAGGAACATTTGTCCATTTCGGTTGTCACACCCTCTGAAGACCAAGCGAACTATTGACGGGACATGTTCAGTAACGGTTGAACCCTTCAGTCTCGTCTGCCAAATGTCACATGTTTCCGGTGCTGTTTCTCAAGGCCACCAATTTTTTTTTGCATTTAGCTCAGCATCTCACAAGTGGGTAGTCTCCAGTTTCACCTGCAGAAGGGACTAACTCCAGGCGTGATATGGGAGCACAGGTCGGCAATTCGCAGCTATGGACCGAATGTGTCTTTCTAAGAACAAACGACAGAGCCGTTTCTCTCTCCAAGGAGGAGCTAGTGAAGCTTTCACCCGTGAATCGTCGATCGGTGAGCATCGGATGCACCCAGAGCGCAAGATGGTCACGGTGAACTGCAAGATGCAAGAGGCGAAGATACAGTGACGAACACGGGTAAGAGACCAGAGAGCACTACGGCATAATCACAGCAGCACGGCAACGTGGACCCGCATGAGCCTCGTGGACCTATGCGATAAGGATGCAGCCTTTTCTAGGCACCTCCGAGAAAAAGAAAGATGAAAGAGCACCATCTTCGTAAGCAAAGTCCTATCTCACTCACTCATGAAGCAAATCAGGTTTCTTCACCGAGTGTGCGCGAAACATGAGCTCCGTCGGTGTACTCGGACTCAAACCTTCAGACACGAATGCGGACTTCATTCAACGCCAGAATACCTAATGCCCTTACTTCGGGCGTAGTGCAGCAGATCTACAATGCGGTGAAGCGATGAAGGTGGTACATAAGTCAAGTCGAGCAATCGGGTTGTGACCTTGATTCAACACAGAAGAACTTCAGCATGTTGAACGTCAGCAGCAACCGCAATTAGGCGTCAAAAATGGTCGTTTGCTTTTCTGCGGCTCCAATAGTAAATGCGGAATATAATTAAAAGCGGAAAAAAAAGCGTTGAAAACTCATCCATATAATAGAATGTTCATATAGAACCTCACGCTGTACATGCATGAGGGAATGGTGTAGTCTGGCTGGTCCTTCAAGTTGAAGGCAGCGCCCGCGTTCATTTGATGTTCCTACGCCCTCCTTAGATATCGTAGCTTTGTCGACAAGGGTGGAGGATGTACTAATTTCGCAGCTCAAAAATACGAGAGGATGGCGCCACCCGCTTGTGAAGAGGATGCCGCCCCGCCCACCTGGATGCCATAAATGCCTTGGTTTAGCCTGGAATGAATGAGTCGCTTTCAGAATAATGAGTTATGGAGCTCATATAATACGTGATCCAGTAGTGAAAAAAAAAGCAGAAAAAATCATGGAAAATGCCCTATATAGAACCCTATGCTGGCCAGGTGGGCGGGGCGGCCGACTCTTCACTAGCGAACGGCGCTATCCTCTCGCCTTTTTGAGATGCAAAACTAGTACATACTGCATCCTCATAGGGAGGGCTATGATATCCAGAGAGGGCGCGGGAACATCAAATGAACGTGGGCGCTGCCTTAAGGCGGATGTGCACTCTTAAATAATCCTGCCAGTTATTGCGCTTCGAATCAATCTGGATCTCCCGCATTGTACCCTGTGTTGTAGTCGTGAGCGCTTAATCAAGTATGGAAATTACTGTGAGAAACTAATCCAGTCAGTAACGGCACCAACTAGAGTATAATGTACGGACGTAATAAGGTGTGATGTTTTGTGCAAAGGTTCCCGTTTTCGGGAAGGATGAACGGGGGGATGAAACTATTCCGCATGACGATTTTATAGCGAAGTTGAGGTGTTTCGCCTGACCTGGATATTCGTGAGAGGAATCTTAGCTACCACCCGGAATCAGTCGCTGGCTAAACTGGTTCCAAAACGAAGTTTCAAATATTATATCAAGGGTAGCATGGCAGAAACGGTGTCTGCCTGCTTCAATTTGCAGCATTAATTCTTTAAACCTACAGTGGAACTGTTGCGTCCACCTTGCAAGTGCAGTTCTCCATAAGTTATGATTCACCTTAGTCATTTTTTTGTTTCACTTCATTCTCCTGATTTCATTTGACTGCCTATTCTCGCTCTTCTTTTTCTTTGCATGACCTTGTCGAGTGCTCTGGACGGCCCTTGGCGCCTCGCCAGTTCGTTCTCACCGATTGCAGCAGGCGACCACATATGGCGGAAAGTTGGTTGGAGCCGCGCCAAGCTAAGCCCCCTGGAACCTCGTAGCGTCCGCAGCGAGTAAGACCGTGCATTCAGCACCAAGATTCTACAGAAAAAGCACGTTTCGGATTGATTCATGAGTTTGCCATTGAGATTGAAATCCATCCGTAGGCGCTTGCCCAACAAATTCAGGAAAATCGATTTTCAATTTTTCGCGGATTTCACTCATTTATCCATCGTAAGTGGCCAGCCCTTTTGTGCGCATCCCTGAAAATCTGCAAACTGCTGCAAAGCGCGAATGGGTCATTCAGTCCCTCGAGATTGTCCCAGGCGTTCCACTGCTTCTCTCAACTGCAGAACTTTAGGTGTAACAGCCAGCCTCGATCCTGAATCGCTAGAGATTGCTTCGATCCTTTCAGGCTCTTATGAGGGGATTCTTGCGAAACGCCTCAATTGAAATGGTCTACCAACCAGGGCACGCCATCGCGTTGTGATCATTTCCTGGAAAATACGACCCCCTAATTTCATCCTCAAATACGACCCCCCTCCCCATGCTACCTACCACTTTCCTAGATTTTCCCAACTTCCTACCACTTTTTCCATTTTTCCCAAAAATTTCCAGTTTTTCAGCCAAGAATTTTCCGTCGAGCGGGGAAGGGAAGGGGATGTACATACCAAATGTGAAACAGGCAAAAAACAGAGGAAACTGGTTTTTCCCCAAAATTTGTGCGAGTCGGCGGGGGCGGGTCGTCAGAAGTTTAATCTATCATTTCCAACTCACGGATAGTAGTTGTTTGATTCTTTGGTTGGTATCTCTTCCAACAACAACCCAATATACGACCCCCTACCATAGCTTGCGTCCATAAAAGAAGAGAAATCAACTAATCGAAAAGATGCTTTTTTACAGACGAGTTACTTACGACGCTCCCTCCCTCGGCAGTCGACAGTACGACAGCCCTCCCGCTGTGATCATCACAACGATGAGTCGGCTGCTACAACCTCGCAAGTGTTCAGCAAAGACGTAGCTAAAAAGCTTTCACGGCAGTTTGTCCCTCGCCGATCTTTGATTCATCGAAGCAATCAGTTGCGTTGTTCAATAGTGTGCTGTAATCTGTCGTCCGGCGCCCTAGCGGCGCGACGTTGAGCCTTCCGCTCACTCTTGAATGCAATTTGCCCCATCAGGCACATTTATAGCCATTGAAACACGCGATCTGATAAGAACTCACGATAGAGTACTATCCTGATTCCCCCGTTTGCGCTGATAGTTTACTCTATCTGAGTTGTTATCAGATCGCGTGTCTTCATGGGTATCAAAATAGCCTCCTTTGGGAGGCAAACCGTTGGGCCGTCGACAGATGATCGCTAGCGTTACTACTCGCCCTCGTAATGTGGCGTTCGCTCGCAACGATTTACCGTTTAAGCTTACTATTTATACGCTAACTCTACCGCTTGAATGAATAAACGTCATACACATTACAGTGTATCCGCCGCTTCTGCGGCCCGACACATCATCCACGGCAGTCTGCTCCAGCGAGTCGGAATGGCAAGGCATTGTCTGCGAAATGGACGTCGCATCCTGTCCTGCCGGTTATTCTCGGTTAAGCTGTGAAGGGTTTGCTGCACGATACTCTGCTTCCCTGGAATTCCTTCTGAATGACACCGATTACTTTCAGATTAAACTGCCCTACTACGAAGATTGCGGCACGCCTGGCCGTAAGAGCGGTGAAGACCTCACGACCGCATGGAAGAGATGCGCCGACGACTACACCTGCTCCACTCAATGCGTCAACGTAAGTTTAGCTCAAAGGCCCAACCGACGTCGACCATATGGGCGGAGACGGGCCTATCATTGTGTTTTCCTTGATGACCTTTTCTCATGCACGTCATAGTGATGGGCCTCACTCCGCCCATAATATGGGCTCGGACCAAGACGCTAAGTGGATCATATCTCTCCGTTTCAGGCATACGTGAACCGCTACAAGGGTGGATGCTCATCAACTGGCGAGGGAACTTGCCAAGTGATGGCTCGTCTTCACAACGGAGGACCATCAGGATGCAAGATTTCTGGCACTGAACAGTACTGGAATGCTATCAAGAAATGCTGCGCATGCTCATAAGTCCCACAAATCCGGAATCATAATGAGGAATGCCTTTACAACAGTAAGATCGCTGTGTATGATAAAAAACATAAAATCTAATAAAATATTTATACAAGTTTGTTTTTGTTGTTATTTTCTCCAACTTTCTGTCTTCGTCCGTCAGCAGTCAACTTGAATGAGTCTTAGCACGTCATTTCTGAAGAAAAGTACGATGACCCTCGTGATACGGGTGAGGTCAGGCTCACCATTGGGCATCCTTCAACAGGAATCTTGTTTACAATTTCAGCCATGAATGGACTCGACCTTCTCTTGATTCTGGCGTCGATCTGATTTCAAACGGATTTTCACGAACCACTATTTCCAGGTCCTTCTGTATGTTTTCGTGTCATTCGAGGTCACACGAATACCTGGCTCTGTCTATTGAAAATTTGAGAAACGGACTGAGCTGAGGATAATAGCGCCTTTATCATCCACTCCTCTCCATGATCTTGTTTTCTTTTTTACTCCATTTATTACACACCTTCTGTCTACATGAGGATTCATGTCACGGAGTTGGGGGCGGGAGCTCACTTCATCTAGAAGTGACAACGGCTGCCCTTATAAATGTATTGCCATTTTAGAACACTCGCGATAAGACAGAGTGACAGTTATCTCGAATAAAAATCGCGATCGAAAAATAAAAATAAAATGAAAATCGGAAAACCGCGAAAGGAACTCTTTGATCAAAAGAAGCATGCCACCATCTTCCCATTTCCGGAGGGTGCATATGTACAATCGTGAATCTCTTCAGTTGTCGAAAATGGAGTTACGGGAGATCTTGTATGGGGGCTGGTAATGCGAGCTACCTCGTAGTTGTGAGACGAGTTCAAAATATGTTTGCAGATCAGAGAGAGTACACTCTACTTCGCTGCGGACGGTTGGGCGTGTCAGCCAGTATGAATGTGCACAGCGTCAAGGCCGTTCCCTGTTTAAGCGCCCATGGGACAAGAAGTGGTAGAAAACGAGAACCGATGCGATATGAATACCGTCATATCATTTGTTGCTTTGAAAACTGGTGGAGAACGAGTTTGGCATCGCGCCAAACGCAGCCGCACTGATACGCCCAACCGTCCGCAGAGAAGTACACTATAGATGAAAATCTTGGGAATGAATGAATAGATCTAAAAATGATAGTTACTAAGAATGAACATTAAAAAACGAGCTGTGTTTTTCCCGGGCGAATTCTTCCTAGGGGCCAGTGTACACTCCACTATGCGCATTCCAGTCATTGCCGTGTGTGGGGTGGATGGGTTTGCAGCTGCTGTAACGAGCCAATCTCGAAAAATGCACGAGAACTGGCCTAGATGGTTGTGATCAGGGTACTCCTTCGCGTTTGTGATCATTTTCTGAAAAATAGACCTCCCCCTGATTCTATTCAGCGGCCCCCCATGGCTACTACACTTTACTAGACTAACTTGCCTACCACTTTTTTCATTTTCTTTTTCAGCCAAGAATTTTCGAGTCGAACGAGGAAGTGGGGAGGGGACGTGTCCAGGGAGTATATACCGAGTGAAACAAGAAAATTTCTTAGATTTTTCCTAACCTCCCATCGTATAGATCTTTAGCAGTCCCTCTCTCAACAAGGGCCAGATACGACCCTCCGCTTTAACATCCGTGAAACAAGAGAATCGACACCCAAAAAATTTTTCTCAGACCAAATAGGATTCCCTCCCTCCCTTCCGATACGACCTCCCCCCACAGTTGATCTTTTACAAACGGGCGTGTCTAGTTGTGGATAACCCCAGAGTGCCGACTCCACACTTTCACTTTGAGTTCCTTGCAGCGGCTAAACCCAGGGGCCAGCAATAGCCCTAACAGCTAATTTGTCTTTGCGCTTTCAATTGTGGTGCTTCTCTTCTGAAGCGCGGTGTTTCGTTGCGGGGCCCTGCATCCCTCAGGTATAACTGCAATTATGAGCGCGCAAGGTAATATCGAAACAGACAAAACTCACCGCACCGTTTAGCTCCTCTTTCGCGAGGCCACGTTCGAAGAATGCATGGCCAACACAGCAGCTGCAATCCATCAACTCTCGCGCATTGCAAATAGTGTTTTTTGTTATGATAACTTGCTGTTAACGCGCCAGCTACGCATTCGAATGTTATCATAAGATGCTGAAGTTTTGTGGGCAAAAGCTGCCCAGAGTGTGAGTGTGATAGGCTACGGCATAAAAGCCGTTAAGCTGAGAGGGTAAAAGCGGCCCTGGTGGCGTAACGGATAGCGCACTCGCCCGGAAAGCGTGAGGTGCGGGTTCGACTCCCGCCTGGGGCACGACTTTTGCCCACAACTCAGCATTCTTGTGATTGCAAAGAGCGTCTTCGGAGGGTGATTGTATATTTTGTCTTGTGGACAAGGCTATGTGGGTGGTACTCAGTGCCAGGACGCAAGCAGTCCAGTAGGATTAGTAAAATTTAACGTTTGACGGAAAATCAAAAAAAGCTTAGCAAATTTATTATTACACATCGTTTCCGGTAGAGCTTATCTTTTCGCTGTGCTCTGTTCGCTCATTGAACAAAGAAACGGAAGCCTCAGAAAGATAACGCTCTGTACACCACAGTCCATTGGCATTCATCATGCGAACTTGAGTTTGAAGTTCGAGACAAAAAGGACAAGGACCATCTCCCTTTCCTTGCGCGCCAATCACTGGACTAGCCACGCGAATATCGAAAAACATACCTAGAAGGACACTTTTAGAGAGTATAAAATATATATTCTAGGAGTGTTCACACTTTCCCAACGTGGTCACACTTTGTCGCTAAAGGGACAGGGGTCGTATTTCCATTAGACGGGAATGTTTTCAGTTGTTGGGTTTCTCTTAGCTTTTCCTGTCTCAAAGCAGCGCCCACGTTCGTTTGATGTTCCCGCGCTCTCTCTCTGGATAACATAGCCCTCCGGATGCAGTATCTACTAGTTTTGCATCTCAAAAAGGCGAGAGGATAG